ATTTGAGAATAAGTCCTGAAAATTTCATTAAAATCTGACAATTATTTGACTTTTGCAAGAATTTCCAAAACATGTGTTTTTAACGACAAAACAGACGCTAAAATTCCCTATATTAATCTCCTACAACTACAAATACATATAATAACGGGATAACTTATATTACACATACCCAACATCCCACCTCGTTACAGGACCTTTTTTCATATTGGTATGCACTTTTTTAGAAAGTTTTTGGAGGTACGTAATTTATTGTTATATCTTCAGAATCCCCATTTTTTTTCTTTATTAAACATATTTTTCTTTTAGGTAAAATATAACAATATGCATTTAAATGGTTAATTCCTATATTTCAAGTTTCTTTATAACATTCAACTGGTCCAATGTTAACTCATTAACACATGACCCGACCTACAGAGACAATATGTTTGCCCACCACTGCTTTATGAGAACAAAAGGTTACAGTGTTAATATTTTTAAATGAGAAGATAGACAATTATACTTAATGGGTACAGTGATGTCATTCGCCATTAGATCGTATTTTATTAAAGTATGCAGCTCATAAAGCTGTTGTTAGTTGCTAGATTTACCTGGTGAATCAAACTGCCTCATGGTGAGATTTGGCAGAGTATCGGACCATATGCAATTCTCAAAAGTTCAATTTCTAACTCATGCTAAATATGTTGTGCTGGCCAAACCTGGCTTCATCGACTCTTTGCAAACTCCCGTTTGCCACTAGGCCAGAAAAATGTTTTCTTCTAACAGAGAAGGATATTCATTCACGTAGAATGACGGTCATAATTTGTCCCTTGGAGGTATACCATAAAAAACATTATCAGTTCAGTCATAATGTAATAACTTCTGGCTCTTACTCTTTTATAATTACGCAGCATAAACACTTTTTTAATAATATATATATATATATATATATATATATATATATATATATATATATATATATATATATATATATATATATATATATATATATGTGTTTGTGTGTGGATGTGCAGGTGGTGAAATGGTTAGTGGTTAGAAACGGAAAATCGGCAAGTTCGAATTCAAGTCGTGTTCGTTCCATTCACTTTAGCGCAGGGGCCCTTGGGAATAGTTAAAATCCGTCTCTTCTCCCCAGCTATGGGCATACTATGCTCTTCAGCTTTTGTTGGCAACCAGTCTAGGAGAAGGACAACTCTGAATTCAAAACCTGAGGAGAGCTGTTCCCTGTATTCATTTCTTCTGAAAAGTGTGAATGGTTTTGCACAAGCCATCTATAATCGAACCATATGTGAGGTAGTCAGGCTGTTCCGTTTTAGGAACTGAACTGTCTGAACTTCATATGTCGAAAACGACAGGAGACACCGTCATATATATATATATATATATATATATATATATATATATATATATATATATATATATATATATATATATATATATATATATATATATATATATATATATATGTATGTATGTATGTATATATAATTATTTACAAATGAATTGGTATTTGTGTAATTTATTAGAAATACTTTTTGATGTATGATTTATTGATTGATTTGTTTTCTACGTCTTGTCAACACTTTTCATGTTATTTAAAGCCAGAAATTATTTTTAGGAGCCAATAAGGAACTGACATCGACCAGATAAGAAAATAATTTAATAACACAAACACAACACAAATTTACGGTGAATCCCAGAGATATTGCCTATTATATTTTTTCAATAAGTACAAAGAAATAATTTTAATATTCATAGCTTTTGGAATTTTGTTGAATTTCTTACATATCAAAACCAAAAAAGACATACTCCTTAGTTTAGTCTTAGCAAAAGGGGGATCCATTTGGCATCTATTTCTAGTGAAAACGTTTGGACGCCAAGAAATCTTTGAATGCAGTTTCTGCATCTCCTTTGCAACGGGATGGCTTTTGGCTTAAGAAATTGTTAAAATGCTTGAAAAAGTGGTAGTCAGTGGATGAGAGATCAGGAGAATATGATGGATGTAGCAAAGTTTAGTATTCCAAATCGGTGAGCTTCTGCGGCGTCATTCTGGTAACATGTGGCTAAGACTTGTTATGAAGCAGAATTGGATCTCGTTGATTAACTAATGCTAGCCGCATTTTGTTTAACTGAATGTGCATGTAATCCAGTTGCTAGCAATAAACTTCGGCTGTGATGCTCTGGTTATATTCAAGGAAGCTGTAATAGAATACGATAATGGCGGACAACCAGACAGTCACCATAATCTTCTGTTGGTGAAATTTCGGTTTTGGAAAGTGTTTGGGTCTTTTGTTATGATCAAGCCATTGAGCCGATCGTTTACGACTGTCATAAAGGATCCATTTCTCACCACAAGTCATTATTCAATCAAGACACTTCAAAACGCCGAACTCTTTGACTTTCACTGAATTTACGTGGAACCCATTTATCGAGTTTCTTCCCCTTGCCAATTTTCTGGAGATGGTCTGATATTGTTGAAATGCTGACACATCATTATCTGAAACATTTCTCTGACCCATTGATGTAGGTTTTTCGACTAGTGTTTTCAGATGCTGATTGATCTCTTACACCTTGATCTTCAAGACTAGTATCTCCATTGCAGAACTTCAGAAACCAGCGCCGTACTGTCCGATCACAAGTGGACCCTTCACCTTGTGCTCTGTTAATATCGACAGCAGTTTGAGAAGCATTCTAATCAAGCTTGAACTCATGCACAAAAGTAAAGGCATCTCTTCTTTCTTCATGTTCAAGATTAGTGTATATATTTTAAGTTAAATTCTGAAAGAGATTAATATAAAATGTACAAAGCGGTAACTTTAATCATTCGAAATGAGTAATATATATTTGTACAACTATTATAATAATATATTAGAAGACAAAAGATTTTTCTAAATTCGAACACTATTTTCCGAACAACCTAATAGTAGTTTGAGAAAGTTACTCTCACGAATTCTATGAATTATTATAGTTTCTAGATGATTTTCTTTCTTTTTGGGGCAAATCCAATCTTTTTATTTGGCCCAAAACGATTTTTCTTTGATCGTTTTCTGTGAGTATCCATGTTAATAAAAATCTAATTTGCCTTTCCCCCGGGACAAACCACTGATTTGGTGTGTTCAGTTTTCAGTCCTTCCTCGAATCTTGTCTTTCGTGTTTGGGGCACGATTTCAAGTGCACCAATATTATTAATAAAACTCTTAACATTCATGTTCCATAGTTTCTGTTCTCAAACGAGATTTTTTATATTTTTTTCTATTTCTTTTTTAATTTTCTTTTGTACACCCTGCTGACATAGCCACGTCATTAATCTAAATTTATTTTCTTTGTTTAAAAGATTTTGATGTTTAAGTTTTTTAAAAATCTTGTGATTAAAGAAAACTTATCAAACTTAAGTAAATAATAATAATAATAATAATAATAGTAATAATAATAATAATCCTCTATGTTTTGATTAAGTTTTTGTTCGTGGCACATAAATAATTTTACAACGTTTCTCTGCCTGAAGGAAACGTTTTCGTCTAAATCCTTATTAATCTTCTTGGTGTTAACTAACAGAATATTGTATAATATTCAAATATTTACTAATTCAAGCCGTTACTGAAAAAATAAAAGTCCAGTATGATGAAAACATCTTTACCAAATTGTCCTTATATGAGCATGTCCCTGACTACGCGCGTGTGCACGCACGCACGCACGCGCGCGCGCGCACACACACACACACACACACACACACACCAAAATAAGCTATTTGTAGCCTTTAGGTCCTTAAATCAAATTTAATTAACATTTTTATTACATATAGGGAAATAGTTCTTTCATTGACTTGAAAGCCATACAGGTCTGATTGTATCACGGCCGGTTATAGTAGAGGGTGTCAAGAGAGAACTAGAGGGAGGGAGGGAGGGGGGAAAATGCGTTTCGAGATTTAGGGAGATGGAGATATTGAAGCTGAAAAAGAAGGTAGGGAAAGAAAAAAAGGAAAGGAAAATAAATTACTCAAAGAAAAAAGAAAAGAAAATAGAGGAGGTCCTTCTGTCGTTCCGACCATTCAGAATTAACGCCATTTCTCAAGCATTCGCGGCTGGTCGAAAGGGGCGGGCAAATGTCACGTGATTCTGCCGATAGGTAAGAAGAGCGCTGATCAAGAAGTGAATAAACCGCTTATCGCTACCAAGAACGACAGACATGGCTTTTGGAAATAGACACTGCTGGGGCCTTGCGCTTCTTCTACTCGTTATCACGCAAGGTAAGGTTCTTCTACTTTTCTTTGAAGCCATACTTCTTGTTGTAGCCATTATTGCTTGGCGCTAATGATATTCTGTTGGAAATAAGCGAAATATCTATGTCATGAGAGAAACGTTGATATTTTACATAATGTTTCTTAAACTTCTTCTTCAAATTTCGATATTCCACGAATAAGAAAAGATTTTTTTTTTTGAAAGTTAAAAAAGCAAACAATATGTATTGATTGTAACAGTTAATTAAATTAAAAAAAAAGATGTTTTGCATTTCAAGCTAAATTGATCCCCAGTAAGGTGTTTCATTTTTATTCATTTTTTAAAAAATTTACGATACTGCCAAACAACTTTTTTTGACTTTTTGTTAAATCTTTAGATTTCTAGCCGTTTATAAAATGTTCTAAAAATGTGAAAGTAAAGAATTTTCTTGTGGAGAAAATTGTGCCGTGAATGGGAAATGCAATTCTTCGAGGTTAAGAATAATTTGAATTCTTCCAAGTTCGCTCTGCTCGATGACGCGACATATAAAAAATAAAATACAAATAATTGAAGTTGTACGTCAGCAGAAGAAAGAATAAATCCTTGCAAACTCTAAAGAATCAATTCTATTGATCTGGAAAAGCGTTCCTCTCAGCAAATATCTATAAAGTGTTATGAAACTTAAAACATCATTAACAAAATTTAGTTATTGAAAGCATCTTTGTAAAGGTTCTAAGCTTTCATTATTAACTAGAAACTTTGTTTATTTGGCTATATATCCGGGGCTTACGGCCACATCACGTTGAAACACCGGTTCTCGTATGATCACCGATGTTAAGCAATGTAGATCCTTGTCAGTACCTAGATGGATGACCGCTTGGGAATACCAGGTGATGTAAACTTGGATGTGCATGTGGTGTAATTTATAACGGCTCGGGATTGGAAATCGGTGAGCCGACTTCCAATTCCAGTCGGATTCATTATATTCACGTACGCGAAAATACTCTTGGGGGATGTATGAATCCATCTCCTCTCCTCCCAGCTATTGGTTAATTAATTATTATTTCCAAAAAAATCTTACAATCAAAAAGTACTTTCTGGCTTTAACTTTTTAGCCTCAAAACGTTGATAAACCGTAAAAAACAAACCAATCAAAAGTCATTATATCTCCAGGACCAGATTAAGCTAGCGTGATGTCTGTAGCATATGATACAAGGCGCCGTAAATTAAATATATATATATATATATATATATATATATATATATATATATTAAATCATATTATATTTACATAGCTTAGTGATATAGCTTATAAAACAGGTAACTTCTATCATCATGATAAACAAACCCAGAAAAATATGAGGCAAATGATTCTAACGAAATATTTGAGTAGCTTTAACGTCCTCGATGGAATGTCACATGAAATGCTGAATAACTAAAGATGCAGCTCTCCTGGTATGCACACATTAACATTGATAGATCGTAAGATATCGATCTCACCAGACAGCGTGAAAGTATTTAGTGCGGGACCCTCGAAAATGCCATGTCCTTAGCATTTGGTACTTTTGCTGCTGGGCTAATCCAGCACTGTATATCTTTAATATTTTATACATAGTAAAAAAAATACTAGAAGCACTGGCAAAATTGCTGTCTTTTTCGTATGATAGAAGATTAGTACAATGACTCTTTTTTCTCTTCAATAAATATCACTTCCATATAAATAACATTATGGAATTACTACAGATTTTACAAGTGTTTGATTAACTACTTGAAAACTTTTCCTTTCCTTCGTTTAAGATTAGACTTCCATATGTTTTTGGAATAAATCAAGTCTTCTTTTATGTGCCGTGTCCTTTCAGGACGTAAGCGATCATGGCCCTCCACATCTTGTCCATTAATAAATCAAATACTAAAATTTTACTGCGCACACAAATGTGCTAACTGGAAACTAAGTCCAACATGTGTAGTCAAAATGGACGATTGCAAAAGTTTTGTTTTATATATATATATTTACTGCACTAAAAATAAATTCTAATATGTCGTTCCCATTCACAATAAAATTCTTTACCTGATTTATTTTAGTTCTATTTGCAAATTACGAGAAACTTTAGCATAACTAACTGGAAATAAAAACAGCATGGCGTTTTCCAACTTTTTTAACCTTGTTTTTATCCTAATTATTGAGGGACAAACTTCTGTTCAACTCTCAACAATATAATATATTCTACGATATTACCACATTGTCTTCTCTCGGCTAATATGAATATTTCACATTTTCAGTCTCACACACAAGCCAACTCTCAATAATATCAATTATGAACATGGCCACAACTGACCGTGTTCAGAAATTAAAAACCTTCCCATCCTTATATATACAGGGTAATTGAAAAGTAACTCCCTATTTTATGTATGAGTGACCAGCCAGGAGTTCCGATTTAACGCACTGTGACTTTAGGGAGGGGTGGGGTAAAGGATCAAGTCTCTTATACCAAATCAAGACTTTTGAAGAACTTGAACACAAGAAATTATGCTTTCCATACCACATGAGTTCCCAATGAAATCAGTTGACGCAATTCTTGGGCGGCTGGAAATGGTAACGAAATCTGGTTCCCATATCAAATTTTAAATAAACCATCATGCTTTTAAACGCTTTCCTCTCATATCTGTTTCTTGTAAAAATTATAGTTAATAAATTATAAGTATTTTAAAATGGAGAGTTACTTTTCTATCACTCTGTCTGTATATATATATATATATATATATATATATATATATATAATTTTTCTCTTAGACAAAAACATCCTTGATAATGGCTAATACATTAGCCGAACGCGGTCGAATCTACAGATCATTTGGACACTTTTTACACACACTATGTCCAGAAAAGAAATCACTTGGACGAATGCAAGAAAAATTAAATAAAAGGCTTAATCGCAGTGCCTTGTCAGCCGTCTTCAATGAAACTTCTATAAAAGAAGGCATGCTACACACACACACGCACACACACACACACAGAGCGTGTGTGCGCGCTAACGTGCATATTACGTAATTGAGAACAAATTAGAATATAAAGGAAACAAAGATATTCAACATTAAAATCAATATATTAAGTATTTAGACACATGTTCAACTTAACAAAAACAAAATAACCGAAAATGTTTATTGAATAGAATTCCTCTCACTCTCTATACGGCCTCTAGAGCGATTGCGAAACCGGATCATGTCGTCATCGTTCATGTTGGCCATTACATCTACGAAGGCTACCTTCAACAAGTAGTTGATATTGTGAACACCCCCCACCTCTCTCTCTCTCTCTCACACACACACACACACACACACACACACACACACACACACACACAAATTAGGTAACAAGGAGGTGACATGATCGTAAAAATTCTCGGCCGGCTCTTTCTGGGTAACGATTCCCCAGGACCATCTCAGTTGACGTGAAGTCTGTGTGTATCATTCTAGGATCCTCCATGGAGTCAGCGCAAATCTATCTGTTGTTCCTCTTGTTCACCTGGCCTTTTTCAAGAAGCTCACTATATTCGTGTCGCTGTTGTTGACGGGTAGCATCACGTGAACGGCGTGCCTTTTCATTTTCTGTGATGGATTGGAAGTTGCCACATTAATTTTTATCTATCCGCCTGAAAGAAAAATGAAATGTTAAAATTTCACGCATGCCATGTAAAATTATGCTAGGTTACCTACCTGCTAAAAGTTTACAATGGATGTGCAGGTAATGTAACGGTTATTGGCACAGAAAGTAGAATCGGCGTGCCGAGTTCAAATTATTACCAAGTCTGTTTCGTTGACTTTGCACTAATACTCTTGGAAAAGGCATGAATCCTTCTTCCAGTTATGGGTTAAATAACAGGGCAAACTCAACTCTTTAGTTTTGGTGGGACAACCAATCTAGGAGAACAACTCTAAATTCAAAACCATACTAAAGAAAGATGTGTCTTAGACACAACTACTGTTGCTGTACATATGACGTTCCTAAGACTCTAATTAGATACAGGTCCGAAATATGTATTTTCAAGTACTTGACGCACCTATGTATATATTGGTAGAGAGTATCAATCTCATACACCTCAAATGTTATTATAATGGATACTTCGTATTTGAAATAGACGCCACATTTTTATTTATTGATGTATATTATGCCTATCGGCCTTCACATTCGATAAAACTCTTAGATCCCTTTCTCAAATGAGCAGACCTATAGATGCAATACCCACTCTTTAATAATTAAGTATGAGTCGTCTATTTAAAATACGAAGTATCCACTATAATACCGTTTGAAGTAATAAATCGGATTAAAAAAGTAAATTCATTAATTCTTTGTATAGTGGTTAGAACGTTAACATTCCAACTTTGAGACCTGAGTTCGCATCTCACCAATGTCGATTTGTCAAGCAAGTCTCTTCTTGATATTATCGATCTATAGAGCTGATTACAGCGTATAGTACTAATAAAAGTGACTGAAATCCCGAATTTATCCAAGTGGATGAAAATTGGTAGACGAAACTGTTCGGAAGCCGCCGATGGGTGTGCTAATACAAATTCTGAACTAATCGGGACTGATGGTTCGAGGGTACTGGATAGATTATTCGCTCACTCCTGAATGCTATTAAGATCCGCTTTGCATACTTGCAATGTAAACCACAGCTTGACTCAGTGGCTATTGAAGAAAAAATAAATGAGTCGTCGTCTGCAACGGGGATTAGATAGTCACCTTAATAGATTTCAGTCTCCATAGACTAACGGATGTCTATTATATATATATATATATATATATATATATGAAATGTGTATATGTGTATGTGTGTGTGTATATATATATTTATGAAATGTGTATATATATATATGAAATGTGTATATATATATATGAAATGTATGTGTGTCTCTCTCTCTCTCTATATATATATATATTCATGAATGTATATATATATATATATATATATATATATATAAAAATATATGTGCATATATATATATAAATATGTATATATATATATATATATATATATATATATATATATATATATATATATATATATATATATACTTATTGGAAAGCGCTCACTATCAGTGATAGAGCTAACATATTTAGTTGGAATGATGTGAGTTTGTGACCCTAGGTTTCACGCTTTTGTCTGACGATCACAAAAGCGTGAAACCCAGGGTCACAAACTCACATCTATATATATATATATATATATATATATATATATATATATATATATATATATATATATATATCACGGGTTTCTGGTTTGTATCGTTCTCAAGAGCATTAGAGCAAATTAGTTTAAATATCCCGCAGCCAACATCGAAAATATTTTCCGTTGACATAATAACTGTTCAGTATTTTTGTGTGTATCCCTGATGTTTATTGTATTTTTCTGTGGATCCTACGTATATTGTGTCGCTCTTACTTTTTCCCTTCATAATGTCCAGAAGTACCAAAAAAGATATAGGAATTCATCAGCACGAATGGCAATGAGATCGTGTAAAATTATATTTAGATTCATATTTTCTCCACGAAGTGAACCTGAAGTGGAAAGATTATATTGAATCAATTGCTAGATTTGCTACCAGGAAAGTTGGTTTACTGTGTCATGCTAATCAATTTTTCTCGCCAGAATCTACCATTCGTTCATGCATTGACTATTGCAGTCATATCTGCTTTGGCACCAAACCAGATATGACAGCAATAGTCAATGCTAAGTATTGAGATTCTTGATAAAATACAAAGAAGAATCTGGGATGTTATTCGTTCTGACCTAGTATCTTGGCTTCAGACTCTTTTCGGCTGCCATAACGTAGATTACCCCTGCCTTTTCTATAAATATTTTCATGGTAATTTTCCTAATGAGTACCTTTTGTACAT